TCGGAGGCCTTGTCTTGGACCCTGGTCTCTTGGGTCGCCTGGAAGGCTGTCTTGCAGGTTTTCTTGGAGCGTTCCTGGGGCCTTCGGAGGCCGTCTTGGAGGTCTCTTGGGTCGCCTGGAAGGCGTCTTGCAGCGTGCCCTTCACCCTGGGCCTCACTTGGATCAGCTGGGGTCGTAGCGTCTGCACGGAAGCCGTTGACATGCGGTGGTGCACCCAACCCGACGTGGGCACCGGCGGCCACGAGAGTTCCGCGGCGCACGGGCGCGGAACGCAGACCGGGCCAGGACAGAGGGCGGAAGACGAGGAGCCCACGGGTGCCCTTCCCCCCCCCCCTCGCCCGCCTCTGGCCGTGCCGCGGGGGCTCCCCCCGCCCCCCCCCCTCCCCCCCCCCCCGCCTCCGACGACTCGGTTCGTCTGCGGGCCCCGGGCCCCGCACCTCTCGACGCCTCCCTCCTCCGGCACCCGGCTGCCGCATCGCGAGAGCGGGGCTCTCGTCGGCCCGCGCGGGCGGGCCGGGCAGGGGCCCCCCCTGGGCGGCACCCGAGGAGGGCGAGAAGCCGCTGGAGCGAGCTCTGCGAGGCGACAATCGTCTGGGCCCCCGGAGGCCTCCAGGTGTCCCAGTGGGCCCCCGGGGTCCCTGCATGTCCCAAGGAAGGCCCCGGAGGAGGGCCTCCTGTGGCCCGAACACGAAAAAACAGACAACCACACACACACACACATGAACAAGCAAACAAACAAACAAACAAACAAACAAACAAACAGACAGACAGACAGACAGACAGACAGACAGACAGACAGACTAACAAACGAACAAACAAACAAGATAGATTAAGATACATTGAGTAACTTATTCCTTGAGCCTCGATGGTCGAACCTGGATCTCAAGACCGTTCGCGGCGACAGCATAATCGAAAACCGACCGAACCAAAAGCGAAACTGAAACCGACAGGCCGCACATAGCCGAGATGGACGCAGCAGCGCAGCAACGACGCGACAACCGACCGAACCGAAACCGACCGAATGCAACCGACTGCGAAGCAGCCGAACGGACCAAACCGCGGACACTCTCGGTAATCCTCGTCGTCTCTCGGTTCAGTGTCGTAACTCAAGTCTCTGTCGGCCGCTAGGGACGATCCGCGCACAAACGGAACCCTCTCGGCGAGGCGCAGCTGCTGACACGCTCGCCGAGGCAGAAAGAGCTCTCAGAGCCTCCTCCCGCGTAGTCGAGCGCACCTCGTCTACCCCACAACCGCGCACCTGCGCGAGGCGATCGTCTCCTCATCTGGGCTCTGACTAACAGGGCGAGGGCATATTTGTCGGCGCGCATAAGATGGGTGGGGGAAGGAGGGAAGACTTCTGAGAAGGAGGCTGCCTCTTAGAAGGTGCTGGCCTCCAAGAAACAGCCTCCTTCTAAGAAGCCTTCCCCTCTCCCCCTACCCCCTCTGCGCGTTGCCGCCATATGCCCCACGACGGAGAAGAGATCGGCCAGCTCTGAATCGCCGAGGGCGAACTTCACTGCAGTAGGGAGCTCCGGCACCCTCCCCCCTCCTCCCGCAGGCGCGCGCCGCGAGAGCGGCCCAGGGGCCCGAGACGTCCTCGGGGTCGTAGTGGCAAGACATGCGGCCGCCTTCCGTGGAGGCTCCCAGCGCGCCCCCGGCGCGGCGCGCGCCGCGCCGCGAATCCCGCCGGGTGGAGCTCGGGGCTCCCGCTTCTGGCCGCCCCTGGCCGCCGTCGTCGCGGCCGCGGCCGCCGCCGTCGCCCCCCGCACGGGCCGGAACGACGAGGGTCGACGTCGAGGCTCCCGGATGCCTCCTGGTCCCCTCTGGGCCCAAGGGGGGGTAACTGGAGATCTCCGGAGGCATCTGGCCACCTCCGGGGACCTCTGGAGACCTGCTGCTCCCCCCTCTGGCTCCCTCTTCGCTCCTCGCTCCTCACTCCTCGCTCCTCGCTCCTCGCTCCTGGCTCCTCCTCCTCCTCCTCCTCCTCCTCCTCCTCTTCCTCCTCCTCCTCCTCCTCCTCCTCCTCCTCCTCCTCCTCCTCGCTGGGGGACGGACGGAGGAGGGGAGGAGAGCGGGGAGGGAGGAGGAGGAGGAGGGAGGCATGGAGGGCGGAGGGACAAAAATGAGGGAGGGGGAAGAGGAAGAGGAGGAGGAAGGAGAACAACGAGGACTAGGGGGAGGGGGCGGCGGAGGAGACTTGGGCATCTGATTCGTCACATCCTCCCAGGGGCCTTCTCCCAACGCCAACAGAAGCGATGAGCTAACGCACTCGCAATGCTCAGTCGGCCTCAACACCAGCCCTCGCTGGGCCTCACTCGGCTCAGCGAACTCCTCCCTCTACGAGTCAAGAAACAACACGCACCATAACTGATCAGGGGTAAATTAAAACAGTGTACCTGGAATTTCAGCTTGGTGGACGCAGAATTGCCTTGCTGTATGAATCAGGCAGTGGCGGACACATTACAAAGTGATACGAAGGAGGAATCGGAGAAAGAAAGGAGTAGGCGACAATGAATAGGAGGAGGGACGGATAGGGACGCGGAGAATAGATACGGAAAGAATGCGAGGATGATTAGTGAAGAGACCGAGAAGATAAAAATAGGGGGGCGAAAGAAACGGACGAGGACGACGGGCGGGAGGACGATGATGGTGGTGATGCTGATTATGGTTACGATTATGCGTATGATCATGAGGACGAAGAGGAGGAAGAAAAAGAAGAAGAGGAGCAGGAGAAGGATCAGGCGAAAGAAAGTGAGGGGACGAGTGGGGTACTGATGATGACCGATGGTGAGGGTAGTAAGGAGGAGTGTGAAGGAGAAGGAAGAAACGAAAAGGAGGAGGAGAAGAGACCAGTGCAAACCAAACAGTCCTCAACTATGTTGGAATAAACCCTCCATCAAAGCTCCCTCTTCATAGGCCCCTACAAGGATTCCTTTTCACTAAAGAAAATGCCCCGTTGGGAGGCAACCGTTTGAAGATCCTGAAGCGTGCCAAAATTTCATGCTCTGGACTCCAACGCCACGACTCAACCTGATCGTTGCGTCTTGACAATCCTGAAATGAGCCAGAACACCGTTCCTGGATCTGCAACAGCACGAATCAGCGTAACACTTGCACCATGGCTAATCTGAATCGTTCCAAAACACATATTTCTGGTACGTCAACCTTGGGAGACCGTACAACCCTTGCAAATGTTTACAGCGAGTGCACGCGACGCTAAAGCGAGAGAGCCACATCTTGAACACGAACCGCGCCCTCAACCCGTGAAACGATTGCAAATGTTTACAGCAGATGCGCGCTGCACTACGACGACAACCATATTTTGAAAAGGAACGGCCCTCGGTCCGCAAAACTCCTGCGGAATTCTAAAACGAATGTGCGCGGGGCCAAAGCGAGACCCACATCTTGAAAACGGTATGCCCTCAACCCGTGAAACATTTGCAAATTATAAGAACAAGTGTGCGCGGCGCTAAGGCGAGAGCCACATCTTGGAAGCAGCCCGCCCTCCATCTGCGAAGCTGTCACCAACTTCCAAGCTTCAGCATCATGAGTGGTAATGAAGTCTCAAGCGAAATGCACGCACCGCCCTTCTGACTGGCCCAGGAGTGCGACAGGGAGGCATTGCTCACAAGGAGAAGGACTTGAAAGAGGAGAGAGGACGGAAGGAAAGGGGACGGAGGCGAGAGGGCGGGGGCGCGAGCCAGGCAGGGACCCCGTCGGCGCATCCCGCCCCTCCCCCCCCCCACCTCCCAGCTCCAAGGGCGGCCGAAAGCGGGCGCCCAGAAGGGCTCCCCCGCCGCCCCGCGCAGCCCGCGGCGGCGCAGCGGCGGGGGGCGGGGGGCGGAGAGGGCCGCACGGCCAGAGCGCGCGCGCGCGCGCGGGGGCCCCCCTTCTGAGCAGGGAGGCGCGCGGTCGATCACCGCTGCCGCCGCCGCTGCCGCTGCCGCTGCTCGCCTCTCGCCCCCCCTCGGGCCCCCAGAAGCCCCCCAGAGCAGCTCGGGGCGCCTCCCCGCCCCCGGGGGCATCCAAGAGGGGGAGGTCGCTGATCATGGCCCTAGGCAGGTGCGCGGCCCGGGGGGGAGCCAGGGAACATATTGAAATCCGGCGACCCTTCGGCGTAAGTGAAACGCTGTCGTCGTCGTCGTCGTCGTCGTCGTCGTCGTCGTCGTCGTCGTCGTCGTCGTCGTCGTCGTCGTCGTCGTCGTCGTCGTCGTCGTCGTCGTGGTCGTCGTCGTGGTCGTCGTCGTCGTCGTCGTCGTCGCCGTCGTCGTCGTCGTCGTCGTTGTCCTCGTCGTCGTCGTCGTCGTCGTCGCCGTCGTCGTCGTCGTCGTCGTCGTCGTCGTCGTCGTCGTCCTCGTCGTCGTCGTCGTCGTCGTCGTCGTCGTCGTCGTCGTCGTCGTGGTCGTCGTCAACGTCCTCGTCGTCATCGTCGTCGTCGTCCTCGTCGTCGTCGTCGCCGTCGTCGTCCTCGTCGTCGTCGTCGCCGTCGTCGTCGTCGTCGTCGTCCTCGTCGTCGTCCTCGTCGCCGTCGTCGTCACTACCAAAAACAATCTGGGAACGAGCAGGAAAAAGAAACGTCGCAAGTAATCAAATCGATTCCCTGCCCTTTGTCCCCTCTCTGGGGGGGGCACGGGGCGGGTGCTGGAAGCCGTGCGGCCGACTGGTTCGGAGCGGGCATCTTACCGTAATTACCGCAGTCGTTGCTCCACCATTCTCCTGCACCCTTCGCACACCGTTCATCTGCGATGCCGAGGGACCTCCTACGAATGACGACGCTCGGACTTCCCAGACTATCGAGGAGCTCTTATTCGAGGATGCGTGGGGCTCCTCTGTGCTGCAGTGGCTGCTCCAGAAAGGTGGCCCGACCAGCGTTCGCACTAGAGGGGCCGGCGCGGTGGTGCAGCATCCTGTTGATCCCATGGACCACCTCTTGGAAAAAGTGGACTGTGCGGCCACACTGCGCTGGCGGGCGCAAAGTGCATGCGGGCGTTGCGGGCCCTCCTTTGCGGTCGCCGTCGCCAGCTCTGGCACACGGTCCTCGATGGTCCAACGCGCGGGCGGTCGCCATGGCGACGGCAACAAGTTCCAGAAAGACAGCTCCCTGTAGCACTGGATGCTGCGATAAACCGCAAACACCGGAGCGCCAGGGCAGCGAGAGCTCGAACACGAACAGTTTGAGGGCAGCACCTGGGGAGCACTGCCTGCCCCGAGCACGCAAGGCACGCGCAACGACCCCACTATCGACAAGAGGTGGCGCAAACAGCGCAGCACACGTTCTCCGTGCGGCCACGGACCAGACCCTGCATCCACAATTGTCAGCATCGACGGCATCGGAACTTTCGACCACGTGCGCCGCGACCGCCAAATCGAAAAGCTCCTGTCCCTGCCAGGCTCTCCCCCAGCAAGCCGCCCACGCATCTTCAGACCGACGGCGCAGGAGTCAGCTGGGCGAGACGCAGATCGCTTACATGAACGACGTTCTTGCCTCGTCTGCAGACCGACGTGCGCCACAGCAGCTTCCCACGTGGTCACCACCAGTATCTAGGCGGACCTGGTTACAGGCCACCTGTCGATCTGGCACAGACGTCCTTGAGTGGGCGGCGCCGACACGCCCGGGTAGCGCCGCGGCCTGTGGAGCGAACTGGGAAGAGGAGCGCGGATTCTGAAAGGAACTCCCCAGGCTGGAGTTTCAGCGCGCTTGGGCGCTCCTGACGTACTGCGCGGCGCCGAGGTGCAACAACGCACTGCGCACGCTGCCTCCGTTGTTGTCGCGGCCCTACGCCGAGGCACCCGACAGGAGACGCCCCACAGACTCCTTGACTCCCCCCCGCGCCAGCAACGACGCAGAACGAACGACTCTTCCGAATGAGCGCGCTGCCGTTAGGTAGGTGGCGGCCTCGAAATGCGGTCTGCAACGCGCAAAGAAAAACGCACGTAGAAGAGGCTGCAACAGCAGACCCCCCACAGCAGCAGCAGAGCTCAGCGCGCCGTCTGCGCCGGAACTGGCGTCGCAGCTGCGCGCCACCAGGAGGCAGAGCGCGCGAGGGTCGCAGCCGCTAGCGACGGCTTCGCGACGTGCCCAATTGGGACGGAGGTCTGGGACGGAGAGCGCCCCAAGCAAACGGAGCCAGAGCCAGGCGAGTGGAAGCACGGAAGGCAGTACCACGCGCCCGCGGCCCGCGAGCAGCGTTTCCGGGCTTTTTGTCACGCGGCGGCGACGACCTACTCACGAGATAGCGGCTTCTTCACTGTGCCCGGGAGTGACCCCGAGGTCCCGCCATGAAGTAAGAGAGCGGCGGCCCCCATCGTGCCCGAGGTCCCCAGGCCCCGCACACCATGCCCGGGTGGGAACTGCGCCACACACTGCCAAGGCCAGAAACTATGGAACGGGAGCGACGAGGAAAAAGGCGCGGGGGGGGGGCGAATGGAGAGCGGAAAACACAAACAACCACTATGCAATCGCCATTGGCCTCCGACGTCCAGTCGTGGCTCGCGCACCAGGCCTGCACTCAGCCCACAGCAATGCGTGTGCGACCGGAGCAAAGCAAAAAGCGCAGAGCTACAATACCAAGGCAAAGCTAGAGAGGAAGAGGGAAGGGGGAGAGGAACGGAAGAAGCACAATGACAGCCAAGGCTCCATGTGCAGACCGCAAATAATGATGCACGCAGGACCCGCGCCCAAAACGGCAGCGGCCTGTACTCACTAGTACCCCGTCACCATCAGCAGCAGCAACATCATCATCATCATCATCATCCTCATCATCATCCTCATCCTCATCCTCATCATCATCATCATCATCATCATCGTCATCATCATCATCGTCATCATCATCATAATCATCATCATCATCATCACCATCATCCTCATCACCATCATCCTCATCACCATCACACACACCATCGTCATCATCATCATCATCAGCAGCATCATCAGCATCCTCCTCCTCATCCTCGTCACCATCATTATCATCATCATCATCATCACCATCACCATCACCATCACCATCACCATCACCATCTGCATCATCATGTTCATCATCATCATCCTCATCATCATCATCATCATCATCATCATCAGCGTCATCCTCATCATTATAGGACTTAGGATAAGAGCACTAAGATGGGGAAAAAAAGAAAACTTAAAAATACCAATACTAAAACTAGTACTACTAATCGCGATACTGCTAAAACTACTACGAATAATAAGGATGAGGACACGAAGCATCATCACAAGTGATAGTCATATTCAAACCAGATACAAATAATACGAAAAAAATACGAATACGAATGCGAATACGAATACGAATACGAATACGAATACGAATACGAATACGAATACTACGACAGACAAAACAAAAACAACAAACAAAAAAAACAAAAAAAACAAAAAAAAAGAAAAGGCAGCACCAAGGTCCGAACGAACCTGCCAAAAGGAAAACAAGCAGGATACGAATAACCATAATTATCCAAAGGACGAGGCAGAATACGAACAATAATAACAATAAGAAAGAATAGAAATAATAATCATTGTAATCATGATCATGATCATGATCACGATCATGATCATAATATTATTCCTAATCTTAATCATAATCAGAATCAAAATCATAATCATAATCATAATCATAATCATAATCATAATCATGATCATAATCATAATCATAATCATAATCATAATCATAATCATAATCATAAGCATAATCATAATCATAATCATAATCATAAACATAATCACAATCATAATCATAATCATACTTATAATCATAATCATAATCATAATCATAATCATAATCAAAATCATAATCATAACCATAATCATACTCATGGTCATAATCATAATCATACTCAAAATCATAATCATAATCAGAATCAGAATCCGAATCAGAATCACCACTATAATCATAATCAGAACCCTAATAACAATGGTAATAAGAAAAATCATGTTAATAATTAGTACGTATACTAATAAGGCTACTACTACTATTAGTCATATTACCCATACTGCTAGTATTTATAATAAAAATGTTATTAGTATTGTGGCCCGTATTCTTAGTATTCTTATTAATCGTATTACCCGTACGATTGGTATGATTAGTTTCACTTGTGTTACTCATATTCTTCAAAGTATTACTACTACTGTTATTATCCATAGCCTCTTAATTATTAGTATAATTATTATTATTACTATTAGTAGTAATAGTATTATCAGTATTATTATTATTGTTATTATTATTATTACTACTACTATTATTATTATTATTATTGTTGTTGGTGTTGTTGTTGTTATCGTTATTACTAATAGTAATATTCGTATTATTATTATGATTAATATTATTATTATTATTATTGGTATTCTTATTATTACTCTAGTAATTATTATTATTATTAATAGTATTATTATAATTATTATTAGTATTAGTATCAGTATTATTATTATTAGTAGTAGTTGTAGTAGTAGTATTCGTATTAGTATTAGTATTAGTACTAGTACTAGTATTAGTATTCGTAGTAGTATTAGTATTAGTATTAGTAGTAGTATTAGTATGAGTATTCGTATTAGTATTCGTATTACTATTAGTATTAGTATTAGTATTAGTATTAGTATTAGTATTAGTATTAGTATTAGTATTAGTATTCGTATTCTTATTAGTATTAGTATTAGTATTAGTATTAATATTAGTATTAGTATTAGTATTAGTATTAGTATTAGTATTAGTATTAGTATTAGTATTAGTATTAGTATTAGTATTAGTATTAGTATTAGTATTAGTATTCGTATTAGTATTAGTATTAATATTAGTATTAGTATTAGCACTAGTACTAGTATTATTAATATCAGTATTATTAGTATGAATATGAGTATTATCAGTATTATTATTGCTGTTATTATTTTTACTATAATTATTATTGTTAGTATTATTATTACTATTATTATTATTAATATTATGTGTATTATTAGTAATATTATTATGAACAGTATTACTATTATTATTAGTATCCTTATTAGTATTATTAACATTATTATTATTAATAATAGGATTACTATTATTATTAGTATTATTATTATTACTAATATGTTTAGTATTATTATTACTATTAGTATTATTATTATTACTATTATTATTATGATTATTATTATTGTGATTATTCTTATTATTATTACTATTATTATAGTAATTGTTATTATTATTATTATTACCATTATTATTACTATTATTATTATTATTCTTATTTGTATTATTATTATTACTACTATTACTAGTATTATTGTGATTCTGATTATTATTACTATTATTATTATTAATATTATCATTATTATTATTAGTATAATTATTATTATTATTACTATTATTATTACTAGTATTATTATTATTATCATTATTAATACTCTTAATAATATTATTATTATTATTATCATTAGTATTATTATTGTTATTATTATTACTATTATTAGTATTATTTCTATTATTATTATTGCTAGTATTATTAATATTATTAGTAGTATTATTATTATCACTATTACCCATGTCTCCCTATCGTTTTTATTACACTTACGATCATTATTCAGTTGTTATTGTTGGCATGATTTTGTTTATGATTATGAATATGAGTGCGATTACGATTATGATTGTGATTTGCCTGATTAATACTATGATTATAAACCGTATTGATAGAAAAAGAAGAGGACCATTACGAAAAAATGTTGAATGCGAAACTGATGCCTATGATAACTAAGGGTAAGAATCAGGAGGATGATGGTACGAAAAAGGCTAAGGAAAACTAGACTACTAATAACAAGGCGAAGGGCAACAAGTACCATCATCAATCTAAGCAGCACCATCATCAGCAGCAGCATATTCATCGCCATCATTAGCATCATCATCATCATCATCATCATCATCATCAGCAGCATCGTCATCGTCATCATCCTCCTCCTCCTCCTCCTCCTCCTCCTCCTCCTCCTCCTCCTCCTCCTCCTCATCATCATCATCATCATCATCATCATCATCATCATCCTCATCAGCAGCATAATCAGTATCATCAGCAGAAGCAGCAGCCTCCCCAACCCAAACAACAATAACAACAATCAGTTCACCCTCACGCGCACTGTTTCCACACGAAGCAGGCAACCATCAGGATAACCACCCACATCCTGGGGGACTCTTGTTCTATAGCAGGGTCCGCGACCCCCATATCCAGACCTCCCGCCCAGTAAGGTCTTGCAAACACCTCCGCCGAGGAATTTCAACATATCCCGCCTCGAAAACACATGTCCCCGCCTTGCTGCGCCGACGCGAAACCGCCAGTGGAACCCCGAAACAAAGCGAGGGGGCCACGAAGGGCTGCAACGGGGCCACGAAGGGCAGCGAGATCCTAGGTAATCTGTGAGGGAATCCTACGCGTGAGCGCGACTCCTGGGTGCCTGGGTGTCGGGGGCGCGGCGCTTGAGTAAATTGCAAGAAAATCCAACGCAAGGGCGCTATTCTATGATAAAGTGCAAGCAGATCTCCAGCGAAAGCGCGACTCCAGAGCGCCGGGAGAGCGATCCCTGAAGAAACTATCAGGATGTCCCAAGCGAGAGCGCGATTCCTGAATATAATGCAAAGAAGTCTCGGGCGGGAGCGGGGGCCCTGGCTAAATTGTGCGGAAGGCTAGAAAGCGGGAGCCGTTGTTGTTGTAATCCTGGGGGCCAGGGGCCAGTTTGAGCAGGAAGACTTTCTTTGACAAAAAACAAGGTGCGAGCCCCAGGGGGGCACTTCAATTGAAAAAATGCAC